TTTTATAAAGAATCTTGACATTTTAAATATAAAAATATCTTAATTTTTATTATTTATTTATTAATAATTTAGAAAAAAAAAAATCAAAACCAACAACATTAACAATACTAAATAGAGAACTTAATAATACAGAAAGATAATATGCAATCCATTATTGCAAAATGCGGATCCTATAATCATTAACAAGATAGGTCTTTTAAATCTTAATATTGAGGTGATAATTGTAAACAATTATCTTTTAATTATATCTTTATTTTATAGTGCAAATTCTCTATTAACTAATTTGAATATTGTTAATGATTTAAATAATTTAATAGTCGTTTTCTTTCGTTGAAAGTAAGAGATTATGAATTTGAGTCGTATGACATGTGAGTAAGATGAAATAAGAAAAAAGAAATAGCTGCTTCCCACCGTAAAATCAAAATAAAAAAAAAAATTTTTTTGAACATTGCCAAAGTCGTTGATTTAAAGATTATGAAAAGGAGAGGAGTACTAGTTTCATAATTGAACAAGGACAAATGGCAGTAGATACGTGAGTGAGACTCGAAATTTTGGAATCAGACAAAGAGCAAATTACACCCACTCGAGTCTCATTCAATTCAAGTGTAAATCCAAACTAAGCTCAGTAGCAGCTGCTGGCACATGTAGATGCCGTATGAACAATTGTCTTGTCTGTGGTAGCCGCCTAAACCTAGCAGATTAGCCTACCGATGGATACCAACCTTTAACATGTTCATGGAGTCGATCATTCTGGAGTTTCTTTCCCTTTCATTGTGTTGAAAAAGTTGGGTACAAAGATGCATCACATCATTCATTAAACATTAAATTAAACCTTTAATCTGCTTCCTTCCCCTCCCTCCATGGAAATACACTGAACCGATAAATTTAGCAATAGTCACCGCTCCAAAATTGTTGCTGCTGTTTCTTGATTATCCACATATATAATTATGAATTTCTTATTGTGGATTTCTTCATAGCAACTATCCATTTTGCACCTTTTTACATCTTCACAGTCATTGAAATTAGGTTAAACTTTATTTG